GAGAGAGAGAGAGAGAGAGAGAGAGAGAGAGAGAGAGAGAGAGAGAGAGAGAGAGAGAGAGAGAGAGAGCTGTGTGCGAGAGTACAGAGAGTTGTCAACGTCTATCTCGAGGCTGCCAGTGAGTGGGGTCTCAAGGTGACATCAGAACTTGAATTGCACACAAAAGATCCAGACTTGCAGAAAAAAAGAGCATGTGAAAGATGATGCAGGCAGGTAGAGTGTAGTACCTGTCATGAAGCCTCGATTGCCTTCCTTGCCAGAACTCGTAATACTCTGGACGGAGCCGATACCCTCCCCAGCCGTTTGGCCGTTCGATCTCTCTGCCACAGAATCAGCATCAAGAAGAAAGTTGCATTCGCATCCAAGAAGGTTGGCTAGAAACTTTTGTTCCATTTGTTCGACATAAGACTGCTTGCACTGTTTGTTTGCAATTTGGTGCGCAGCGTGTAATCATAGCATTATCTTTTTTTTTTTTTTTTTTGTTTAAAGGGCGACTGCAGACACGTGTAATCATAGCAATTTGGTGCGCACTGTTTGATTCCCCTCGGATCAAACACATCAGACACCTAGAACATTATCTTTTTTTTTTTTTTTTTTTTTTTTCAAAGGGCGACTGCATTGAGTGACAGCCTTGAGATATCACAGCCGAACTGACTGGGCCAAGGAAATTCAGAATTAATTCAATTAAAATATATTCAATTATCATCTTGAATTATGTCATTCCATTCATCTAGGTCCATCAGGATTCGAACTCAGGTCTGTATTTCAACAGTCTATGGGTGTCCCAACTGACGAGGACCCCTAGACAAGACAAGCACCCCCTCCCCCCCCCCCCCCCCCCAAAAAAAAAAAAAAAAAAAAAAAAAAAAACGACCCCATTTTTGGTGTCGCCCAGGTACCCCGGCCTGGTTGTCACCCCCCCGTGCAAGTTCGCCCGGGTCACCCGGGCGAGCAGCCTGGGCCGGGCAACTCCCGTAACATAGCATTAAACTTGAACGAAGAGATATTTAAATTTTAAATATTTTACAGCAAATAGAACCAAACCGATGGATCTATCAAAATTATAAGAAAGACGGACAGAAGAGGAACTACAGAAAAAAGAATAGCTGGAGCATTTTTAAATTTTAATCTAAGGTCAGGAGAAACAGGTCGTAAGAAAAACAGTACAAATTAAAAAAAAGAAAAAAAAGGGAGAAAATAAAAGGAAGGAAGATCTAAAAATACAAAAGAGAAGAACACGGGCCAACTGGCTGGCCTAGCTCAGTTGGTACACCCTTGAACAGTTGAAAATTTGAAATACAAACCGGAGTTCGAACTCCAGGGGAAGCAGATGGGGGAAATACTTCAAAAAAAAAAAAAAAAAAAAAAAAGATAGAACAGGAAGAGAATCAAGAGATGGATGGAGCTGCATACAACAACAAAAAGACGCCGACAAGAAATGGAATCTGCAGACCAACACCATGAAAACTTTCAAAAACAATTGAACTCATAAATTGTGTGTAGTACTGTGTACAACTCTCTCTCTCTCTCTCTCTCTCTCTCTCTCTCTCTCTC